ACATTTAATGTTACTCCTAATAAAGCTCACCTGTAATGAAAATTTTGCAATATAAAAAAAAAAAAAAAAATAAATAATTAATTTTTAATTATTGTATTAGTTTTATTTTTAATAATTTATTTTTATTAAATAAATTTTTTATTTATTTATTTATTTTTTTTAATTATTTTTATAGAGTTTACTAAAACATATCTATAGTTTTTTATAACTATATATATGTTTTTCAAAAAACTAGCTAATTAATTGGTGTTCTAAATAAAATATTTTATACTTTAAAAAACTCCTTTTAAAATTAACTCTGACCCTAATACTAACTCTAATATAAAAAAAATTGTATTAAAATTTTATATACAAAACTTATAAAAGCTTAGAAAAAAATAACCGAAAAAAAATTTTATTACTTTTCAAAATATAATAAATAAAGGCATCTTAATTGCACGTTAATTATTTAATTGATTTGATTGGTTAATTAATGATCACGTTTTGATTCTCATAAATTAGCCATATGTCTTTCTATAAGGGAACTGCATTCGCGCCTAATACATATATGTATATACAGTATAATTGTGGTTTAATGTTAACAATTCAATTAATTATACGTACCGGTACGTATAAAAATTATAATTGATAATGTATTATCTGTTTTTTGCAGTCCCATACTAAATAAAGTAAAAGAAGTATTCTCACGATATTTTGACAGAATTAGAATATCTCATGCCCCGATTCCTTAGTGAAAACTCTAATCTAAAAACTGGATCATGGAATGTCTTAAATAGTATCAAAATTCATGATGATCGGATTTGCGCAATTTTTCACCATTTAACGTCAATATGAAGAATAGAATGAAGCAAAAAACAAACTTAATAGATCCTGATAATCTTGATTCGTTAAAATGCCCCCACATTTGTACAATGTATGCTTTGGTCATTATCCAAAATGGTTTGTTGTACCATCATTTCATAGCCAGAATTATTTCAAGTTGTGTTTCAGTTTGGACAAACAAAAAAAAATTTTTTTAATAATATCGATATATATCATTAATATTTTATTTTGTTTATTACGTATAAATTAATATCTGATATGCAATAGAAGTTTGAAGTTTCTGCTCGTTTTTTGTTTTTTTTTTTTTTTTAAAAAAAAATTTTTTTTAGTCTTATTTTAATCGGAATTAGTTTTTCCACGTAAAATTAACCATACAATCCTAACACAAGGTTAGGATTTAAAATGGCATTAATCGGATTGCAATGCCCTCGTTAATATCAACCTCGTAAATATCAACTTTCCATTAATAAAAAATCAAGTTCAGGTTATATAAATCATTAACTCTTTATTATCAACCCTCGCAGATATCAACATAATTATCTAATCTGATATTAACGAGGGTTAAGTGAACATCCAAATGCATAATACTATCATTTCCTGAATGATTTCTGGAAAGAGAATCAATTAAAACAGAAAAGTGGGCTGATGTAAATTTCAATTTTAGTCAAAATACGCAATTTTCGAAGCAAAATGATGCAGAAAATTCGAATGTTTTATTCGAATTCGTAATTATTTAGGTTTAAATATCAAATTAGATTTATTAGATTAGCTCAATTTATTCAAATTCAGAAAATTCGAATTATTTAATTCGAGTCCAGCTTCTAAAGGTCCCGCACGATGTATCATTGTCATAATTTGGACTAATTAAAAATGTATGGATAGTTTTAACAATAACAAGGCAATGTATGGAAAAAAATTTCTAATGCGTTATTCTCATTTTGAATGATTATTGTTCGGAGGACTTATAATGGATCGGTACGTACAATCAAAGAAAGTCTGCTCAGTGGACGTGCATGTGGCTAATTATCAATACTAAATTTTGTGCATTGATATCAAATTACAGACAGCTTACATGGGGATCACGTTATGGAACATATGATTTACTATGTCTCATAACGTTATTTTCAAGGCAAAGATCTCGAGTTAATATTCACTTTATAATGAAATTTCTTTATTTTTTCATTTTTATATTTCTATCGTATATATACATTATTGTACGATATATATCAGATATCTAAGTTTATTTAAAGGTACTATCCGGCAGCTTACTTTGATAGTGCTTGCCAAATAACTATATATTATGACTAATAACACATCCATTAATCAAGATCATAATGTCAGAGAGACGAATAGAATAATATAAGAATTTTTAATTTGATCATTGTATTATGAAATATTAAAACAGTAATGATAATGTAGTACATCTAAAACAAGATTTCGTACTAAGTAAATCAGCCTTAATGCATCAAAGTAAATCTACATATTTGGACAATTTTTATTAACCTTAACGTTAATTGATTATCTACTGTGCAGTGATAACGACAGCATAGAAATGCGTTAATTAGCCGTATGCACCGTCAAATTTACTTAAATGACATATCTTGAGAAATTATGTTTAATCGGATGATTTTTAGACCAATCAATTTATCTCGCCTGCAAAGTCATTGATATGATTTTAGGTAATACCGGTAATAAATTTTTAGATAACATAGAATTTATTTTTGCGGCAAGTTACCAAAAATAGTAAGCACCGTAAGATATTTTATTCCGAAAATCTCCGCATTTTATTTTTTTAATTGTCTACCATCTCAAAAAATTACCCAAGCTTTCATATATTTAGTAACTTTCTACAATGGAGCAATAAGTTTGGTAACAGAAGATATCGAAGCATCAAACCATTTATTGACTGTGTTTTTGGAATAATTCAACTTACTATAGCAGTCTTGCTCCACAATGCCTTATAGGCCTTATAGTGCGCCGGTTTCAAAACGGAAAATAGTAATACAGAATAATACAGTAATAAACATTGATCACACAATTTCCCTTTTTTGAGACGCTATTTAAACTTATACAAATATCGAATATATATTGCTAAACAATATAAATTGGTTAGCTTAATTCTTTCATATCACGTATCACAATAATTATTAATAATTATTGTGATATTTCAAATTTCAGAATTTTCGGTAGCATTTACTATTAAACCTGAAGGAAAGTTTCATTACAACTTTAGCATTTAGAAACATTCCGTTTTTTATACATTCTATTTTAAATTTCCAAAGACATTAAAAATCCTTAAAATTCTTTAAATTCGTTAAATTCGTTAAATTCTTAAAATCTTAAAATCTTAAAGGTTCTTATCACTTATTTTTAAATTTCAATTTTCCAAAAAAAAATTTACGTGTACAAAAGATCTCAAAAATCCTGATAATGCTGGATTGTGCATCAGGAAAATCAACATACTGAGAATGGGAATTAATTAATTTCTTTATCAGATTCTACGCAGTAATAGTCAAGTATAGTCACAGGTGATCGTCCACACATGCACGAAAATCCATTTGCGCCAGATAATCGGACTCAACTCATATAATAAATCACGATATTTATTTTTTCCCACAATTCTTTCTTCCTTCCTTCTTATAAAAAAAATGTCTAATTCATATGGATTACTCGACGAGGACCAAAGAATGCGATCTAAATCTAGATTTAAAGTCTGCTCGTTCACTACTATCGTGATTTTAACCTTAGTTATAATGATATTTATGTTTATTTTCAGTAATTTGAAATATATTAGTACGTAATGTTTAAAACGAAAAAAAAAATTCTCAATTAATTTTTAATTTTAATTGTTAATAATTAAAATAATAACAATAATAATAATGAGTTCAATTTTCTAAATTTTCTTTATTATAATTTATTACAATAAAAGTGGATAATGACAGTTTTATAATTACTCCGGACCCAAACCTGGTTATTGCAAAACACGGTGCTGTCGCATCTGAAATTGCAAATTGTTCGCAACATGGTGTTGACAGTCAGTATTAAAAATTTTTATAGTAATTCTATTAATTCTAAACTAAAAAAATATTTTAAATTTTTGACTTCTTTTTTTTAATAATTATTAAAGTTTTGAAAGAAGGAGGAAATGCAATTGATGCGGCAATAACTAGCATGCTATGTGTTGGCTCTATTGATACATTTGCTTCTGGAATTGGAGGGTATTAAAATTTATATTAGGTAGTCTTTACTTTTTTTTTAATTTGAAATTTTTATTAATGCGTATTCTATTACAATCAAAAGTGGCGGATTCATGACGATTAGGTTGCCAAATGGTTACTATGAAATAATCGATTTCAGAGAGACTGCTCCACTTGCTGCTAAAAAGGATATGTTTGTTGATAAACAAGTTTTTGCCTCTGTTGGTGGTTTGAGTATTGGTGTACCGTAAGTAATTTTTACTTTAATTTATTTAAATGCTCTTAAAAATTGTTACAACGAATTGATTTATATAATTGTTTTTTTTAAAGTGGTGAAATTGCAGGAATGAAACTTGCACATAAAAAGTAAGTAATTCTTCTATTATAAATAATTAAAGATAAAATAAATTAAATATTGATTGAATTATTGTTTAGGTATGGTAAACTACCGTGGAAGCGCCTTTTCGAACCTATAATTAATATGTGCCGCAATGGATTTCCCGTGACGCCAGAACTGGGACTTCGATTAAGAGTACATAGATAAGATTATTATCTTTTTTTTATCGCGTTAATACTAACTGTTTCTTTTCTTTTCATTAGTTGTTTCGTGAGATAGTTGTAAATAATCCACAATTATCTGAAATCTATGCTCCAAATGGCATCCTGTTAAAAGAAGGTCAAATTCTTTATCGAACTAAGTACGCTAAGACTCTAGAAACTATCGCTAACAATCACACTGAATTCTATAGGGTGCACTATAAATTTGTTTATAAAATTTTTTGAAATCTTTAACATTTCTCTATTTTTTTGTTTCTTACATGTTACATACTATTATTATTTTTTTTTTACACAGGGTTCAATCGCAAAGTCAATGATAAAAAGAGTCAAAGCTACTGGTGGCATTATGACTCTCAAGGATTTAGAAAATTACCGTCCCATCGTGCGTGAACCTCTCGTTGGATTTTATCATGATCGAAAGGTACGAGTAATTTATGAGATTTTTTAATAATTTGAATTTCAATGTTACAGCAGTTATTATATTTATTATTTACTATGTAAAAGATTGTGACGGCGCCAGAACCGGCAAGTGGTAGCATATTAATATTCTTATTGAACATCTTGGAAAAATACGATTTGAAAACTAATCAAATTAACGGCCTTAATTTACATAGGTATTTATTATTATTTATTAATATTTTTAAATAAGGAATGTCATATTTTTTTTTGGGTTGATGTGAATTTTATTTTTATTTTTATTTTAGAATTATTGAAACATTAAAATGTAGGTAGTTTGTATCTTATCCATTTATATTAAGAGAATTATTGTAGTAATATTCTTGTAATTTTTATTTAGTCGGTTATGCGAGACAGACTGAATTGGGCGATGCGGCATTTGTAAATACGAACTTAATAAGTCCGTACAATCTATCATTATTCACATATAAATAGATAACTTAACTTTTTTTCAAATTAAAAGTTTGAGAATAAAACTGAACACGAATTAAGGATGGCAGAAATTATTTCAAAAGAATACGCAGACTTAGTGCGACTCAACATATCTGATGTAAGTAGAGTTTTGATTTGTCAATATGTTAAACCTGGGTTTAATCGGTTTAATATATGAAATATGAATTCGGTTCCAACTCTAGTTTCGAGCGAAACCCATTTCGAATTTAAAAAAAGCTTCGCCAGAACACTATTGTTAGTCGCGGATCATTCACTTTTTTTGTTTAAAAAATAAGCAACTATTAAAATTAATAGGTTGTATATATTTATTTTCTAATATTAATTTAATAGAATGAAACGTTCGATCCCGATTATTATAATCCAGTATCTGAACCTGTAGACGATCATGGAACGTCACATTTGTCTGTTGTTGATGCAGATGATATGGCTGTCTCTGTTACTTCTTCAGTAATTATTCTATTTCTTTAATTCTCGAGAATTATAGCAATACATTTTGAAGTTTCAATGCTTATTATATATTTTATTAATCAAAAATAGGTTAACAGGATATGGGGATCACAAGTAATGGATCCTGATACAGAAATTCTATTTAATGACCAAATGGATGACTTTTCAATACCTGGCACGCCAGATATATTTGATTTACCACCATCTCCTTACAATTTTATTGGTAATTATTATGTTAAATTACAACATGATTCGTATATATCTTTAATTTTTATTTTTTATAAAAAGGACCTGGAAAAAGACCACTTTCATCAATGGCTCCAACAATAATTGAAAAAAACGGAAGATTTGAGTTGGCAATTGGTGCAAGTGGAGGAAAAAAAATAATTTCATCTATATTACAGGTACAGAGGTATTCATTTAAAAACTGAAAAAATCGTTCATTAATATTTTACCGTATGTTTGTTAATATTTTTGTAATTTTTAATATTTTTAGTTTATATTAAAAATATGCGATTTTGACA